TCGTCTTGGAGACAGGGGCCACCGCCATACCCCCACTCTCGCCCTCTCTGCAAGCTCCTGGGAACCACCTCCATCGCCCAGGACTCACCACCCTGACTCTGAACCGCCCAACGCGGCCTCAACGTCGCCGAGCAGTCGCCATCTTTCCTGTTTCCTGGTCGCGGAGACACGCCCTCGGCCGTGCGGCAAACTGGGAAGGGGAGTTTCTGACACATCAAGGTACAGGCCGACAGTGCGGAAAGAGAACTATCAGTCCCAGAATGCAAGGCGCGAGCACCGGCCTCCCCCCACCCCCCACCCACGATCCGGCCGCCGGCTCTGGTGGACAATGTGATACGCTAAAACCTTTGAGTCGGCTAGGGGCGGGCGCGCGGGGCGGGGGCTGGGGAAGAGAGTCTTCCGAGGGTTGACTTCCCGCATAAGCTTCTCTCGCCGTGCGGTCTTCCTGGAACATGATGGTCTTATTAGAAACTACAGTTAGGACTGTCATAGCCTGTGGCTAACAGCGGAGGAATTTAAGAGTATCCTTAGATATTAATAGCACGTAATTTTAACCGTTGATGGAAAAGCATTTTTACAAAAATTATATGAGGTACAGTTAGTTCTTCATTGTATGGGACTATCCCACACTTTGGAGGATTTTTTAGCAATCCTGGCCCCGCAGGGGGTAAATGCCGGTTTTTAACAACTCAGTACAAGCTATTGTAAACCCCGCTAACAACTAAAAATGTGCCCACATATTTCCAAAATATTGTCTGACTGTGACACCTGTTTTCTGAACATTCCTTCTCCACATTCCAGACAGGGCCCTCGCTTCCTCGTTTTCTTGCCCTTTGGGATCTGAGCTATTTTGGGATTTTCCTATTATCCCCTCTTCACTCCTCTACAGAATTCTTTTACCCGCTATTGTATGCTCATACTGTTTTTCTTTGTCTTATGAGTTCATAATGCTTCTTCTAAAAAAAAATAAAAAACGCTTGCAACTTCCAAGATGGTTTAGATACCAGAAATTATTTAGTGCCTCTTTCCTTCCCATTTTCGCATGGTCAGCTTTGTTATCTCAAACCCACGAGGCTGTGGAATTTCTTTATGAATATGATTTCAGTTCTCCCCTAGCAAAGCCTCGGGGTAGACCCAAATCCTGAAATCCTAAAACCGTGAGCATCAGACACAATAGTCCAAAGTAATCCTGGTATTGCATACATCTGCTCTTGTATTTCTTAAAGCTTTGACCTCTTCCCCATTTCTACCCCAGGGAGAGAACTGAAAGGGAAAAGCCCAAAATCTACGGAGATGTTCACCCAGTGAACACTAGAGGGATCTCCACTCACAGAATGGAGCCCCAACTAAGAATCGGACCCTGGGGTAGGTTAGAATCTAAGAGCTGCAGCTACTATTTATTGAGAATCCTGTGAGTGCTGTACTCTGTGCTGCAAGCTAAACCTCTATTATTTAGTTAACTTAGTTCTCATAGCCTATGAGATGGATATTATTTCCCTTTTACTGATAAGGAGATTGTGACCCAGAAAGGTTAATTAAGCCTTCACAGGCCACGTAGTTAAAAGAATGGAACCAGAATTCAACTCCAGGTTTATTTGACTTTTCCAAGATACCATTCTTCGCCATCTCTAAAGATGAGGAAATAGAGACCCAGAAAGGGTATGAAGGCTGTCCAAGTTCATAGTGGCAGAGTTCCCCTAGTACTTATACACACCTCTCTCATGACACATAAGACCTTGAGCTTAAAGGATACTCAATATTGTTTGCATCTTTTGAGACAGAGACAGAGGGACTGTGCCCTAGGAAGGACCATAGGTTGAGTCTCCTATTTACGTACTACGTGGCCACTAGTAAGGGGTACATGGAGTTATAGCTAACACTGAAATTTGGTTTGAATCCTGGCTCGCTTATTAGCAGTGTGATCTTCTGCAGGTTATATGGCATCTTTGGTTTTCCTATTTCGTCATTTGTAAAGTAGGGAGAATACTACTACTTGCCTCAGGAGATGAGATAATAGAGCAGTTAAGAGTGCAGATTCTGGAGTTGTATCCAGGTTCTCCCATTTCCCAGTTATGTGCTCTTGAACATAGTAACTAATCTCTCTGAACCTCAGTTTCTTTGTCTGTAAAACAAGGTAGGTAGTACCTCATAGGGTTATCACAGGGAATAAATAACATATAAAGATCTCATAAGTGCCCCTGATCCTTAGTGAACATTTTACAAATGTTAGTTATTATCATAAGAACTCTGGCAGCGTAGTGGCTAAGGCATTTGGCCGCTAACCAGAAGGTGGGCAGTTCAAACCCACCCACTCTTCTGTGGGAGGAAGATGAGGCAATCTACTTCTGTAAAGATTTACAGCCTTGGAAACCCAGTGTACTGTGTGTAGGGGGGTGTCACACTGAGTCAGAACTGACTCTGGCAGTGGGTTTGGTTTTTTTGGTTATCATTTATAAGGTTAAGTGAGAAAATGCAGGTAAAGTCCTCAGCACAATACTGAGCACACAGTAAGCACTCAATAAATAGTAACTTTATTTCTGGCACTATACTCTGAAACTTGGAAAATAAGAGCTATGTCATTGAGGAAAAAGGATATTAAGGCCCCTGAACTTCAACAGGCAATGGAATTGGAATGTCAAGAAGACAAGATAAAATATATATGAAAAACCCCAGGCGTATAGTAGAGTTGTGGTCACTGCTTGGTCACAGCCAGCTACCCAGAGCGACCGCGTAGTTGATCTTGCGGACTTGGGACCATAGTCGCAGGGGACATCAAGCTCAATTGGCATAACATACTGTACAAAACATTGTTCCACCTCCTACTTCGGTGAGTAGCAACTGGGATCTTAAAAGCTAGCAAGCTGCCATCTAGATGCAACGATGGGTCTCTCCTCGTCAAGAGCAAAGAAGAAAGAAGAAAACCAAAATTAATGGAAACAATCAGTCCTAGTGACTGGTACACCATCCGATCTGCATCCTATACAACTATGAGACCAGAAGAACTAGATGGTGCCTGGCTACCACTGTCATCCACTTGGAAGGGATGTAGGAGATCCTGGATAGAGAGGGAGAACAATGTGGAACAAAACTCAAAATCATTTGGAGGGGGAAAAAAAAAAAAAAAAAAAAAAAGATGGTTGGGACCAGGTTTGCTGATCCAATAGTGCCTGGTGGGACCACTGAGACTATGGCCCCTAGCTGCCCTTCAGGTCCGGGAATTGAACCCACACCTGTGGTTTCCAGCCAAACAAAGAACAGGCAAGTGAGTTAAACATTTACCTCAAGTAGACACACGCCCTGGAGAGAACAATCATGGGAGAAGGAAGGGCTGCTTATGCACAGGGAGACAGCTCAGGGGGCAGGAGAGTATGGAGGGATGGACACTGGGAAGAGGTAACTATGGGGAGGAAGTGGGAGGGGAGCTGTTGCATTGTGGTAAACTGTGGTCAATGACATGAGACAAAGTATATGTGAACTGCTGTATGGAAAGTGAATTTGCTCTGTAAATCTTCACCCAGATAACAATAAATAAAAAAATAATAAATATATATGAAAAATCTTTTACAAGAAAACAAGTAACACATTTATAAAATGCACAAAGGACTTGAATAGACATTTCACCAAAGAGGATGTTCAAATGGCCACCAAATACATGAAAAGATGCTCAAGGTGGTTATTAGCCATCAGAGATGGAAATCGGTGAGATACCATGTCACTCCCACTAGGATGGCTAAGATTAAAAATAAACAAATAAATGCTGGCAAAGATGTGGGAAAAATTGGAACACTTATCCATTGCTAATGGGAATGTAAAATGGTACAGCCATTGTGGAAAACAGTGTGGCAGTTCCTCAAAAAATTAAAAATAGAACTATCATATGATCCAGCAATTCCACTCTTAGGAATATGCCCAAAACACTTGAAAGCAGAGACTTAAACAAACAGATACTTGTATAACATTGCTCATTACAGCACTATTTACAATAGCCAATAGATTAAACGCCCATCAATGGATTAATGAATAAACAAAATGTGACACATACATGTAACGGGATATTATTCAGTCAGTAGGAGAATGAAGTCTTGATATATGCTACAATATGGATGGGCCTTGAAGACATTATGTTGAGTGAAATAAGTCAATCACAAAAGGACAACTATCATATCACCTCCCTTACATAGAAAGACAGGAACAGGCAAATGCACAGAGATCAAAATTTATTAGTGGTTACTAGGAGCAGGAAGGAGGAAAGGGGAGGTTATTGGTTATGGTTTACTAAGTTTCAGTTTACAGTGATGTAAAAATCTCACCAAGGGTAGAGTTGCACAGGTAATTAATGTAATTGTCAGAAGTTGTATACCTGTAAAAAGTTGAATTGATGGAAAAAAATGTGTAAATAAATTTTATATATATAAAAGAAGGTAGGAGACATTACCTCACCTTGAACTCAGAGGTTAGAGCCCTGATAACCTCCCTCTTACCCTGGCTTCAGTCTATCTACCTTCTGCAGGGGTTGGGATCTCAGTAGTTAGATCCTCTATTGACAATTTCCCCAGACCTAGTCTATCTCCTCTAGATTCTTGGGCAAGGGTTCTCAACCAGGAGTGATTTTGTCCCTAGGGCTGTTTAACAATATCGAAAGACATTGTTGGTTGTCACAGCTGGAGTATGTAGGAGGTGCTAGCATCTAGTGGGTGAAGGCCAAGGACGCTGCTAAACATCCTACAATGCACAGGACAGCCTCCTACAACAAAGCATTACCCAGCCCAAAATGTCAATAGTTCTCCAAGGTTGAGAAGCTGTTCTGTAGGGCTAAGGAAATTTTCCTTGGTTTAGGGTTGGAGTGTAAAGAGGTGTTCTTTGTTAGAGGGGCTAGAGAACAGTGGAGGCAGCCAGAGAATAGGTCACTCTTCCATCCACAGAAAGGGGCCCAAAATAACTTTTTTCTCATTGTCAGTGACCAGAGGACACAGAAAGAAACCAAGAAAGACAAAGTCAACTTCTTTATATGTATTATATTTTTCATTAATAAATAGTTTTTCTTTTTTAAACACAGAACATGTAACAGATTGAAACACTCCCCCCTCCCCCCATTCCAAAGACAAGAATCTATAAAACAAATGCCAGCTGTACTGCCCCAGGGGCAGAAAAAGTCTGGTGATCCCTATCCAGCTCTGCCCCTGCAGCACCACCAACCCCACACTCATGAGAAGGGGGTCTGGGGCTTCTCCCTTGGACCCTGGAGACTTAGGTGAGAAGCATGTGAATGTATGATGTCACCTCTCCATGAGCCATGGGCTATGCAAAAATGAGGCTTTCTTCTCATTGGTTCTGACCAGCTCCTGCCCTTCTGATTTGTTATGAAGCACCTGAGCTAAGCTCCCAAGGGAGCTGCCTCTTGGCTTCCCCACTCTCCACAACTCTGCCACCTCCTCAGAGGGGAGGGGAAGGGAAGGGCTCAGGGACCCCTCCCATCCCCCAGCCTGCATGGAAACGCTGTGTGGAAGAGGCATGAGGCTGAAGGTGAGGCACCTGAAGGCCCCCAAGCCCAACAGGCCAAAATGCCCCCATCCCCCACACCTCTCCTTCCTTGGAGTGGGGGACACCAGGGCAGCTGCCCCCTCACCACCTGGTGCCTGGCTTGGGGTGTGATGGTTCTCTTTCAGTGTCATGTCCTCATGCCAGGCCTGGCTCCTTCCTTGTTCCATTCCTGTCTCCTTCCAAGCCCTCACCATGGCCATCTTGGAAAAACTCATGTCCAATGTCCTAAATTGTCTCATCCTCCCTCTTTCCCTGTGCCTCTACTCCTCAAGGGAGGAAGTGGGAGGTTGTCTTCCCCCTCAATCCCCAGTTCACATAATGGAACAGCTTTTGGCCTTTTCCTTCTTGAAGGTAGAAGAGATGAGTTCAGAGCGACTGGGGAGGTGTAGCAGTCGCTTGGAGAGGCTGCGAACTGGGCTCTTCGGGGGCACTGGGCTGGCCTTGTTCAGACACACCATGGACGCTGTCCTAAAGATGCTGTGGACACTCTTTTCTGAGGTGAAAGCAGAGCCCTCCAGGTAGATTTCCGCACCCAGCTGCTTGGCTATTGCACAGCCCTGCAGGAGGAGGTGAGGTCATTAGCACAGTGGTCCAAAATGAATCAGCAACACTGCCTTCTGAGGTTAGTGCCACTCCCCAGGGCACTCCTGATGGGAGCAAACTGACAGTCTTACACTACCACCCTCTCCTGATAATTTTTCTGAAGGTGAAGCCTGACTGCATATTAGAATCACCTGTAACATGTTTAAAAACATTATGATAGTTCTATTGGCGAATGTTTTGGTATTTATAGTTTCACCACAATGAAAATAAACAATAACAACAACAAAAAACATATGGCTGCCAGACCAAGTAAATCAGAATTTCTGTGGGTTGGGCCTAAGCTTTAGTATTTTGAAGAGCTCCCCAGATGATCTACTGTGAAACACTAGCCTAAAATAAAGAATTCTTACACCTCCATGTGCATAAGAAATTATCCAACGCAGATTATCGTATCTTTCCCTCTGAGTGAGTCTACAGGTATGGTGTCAAGAATTTGAAATTCTAACAAGCACCCTGAGTGATTCGAATGAGCAGAATACAATCTGAGAAACACAGGGATGATTCACCTGTAACCTATAGCATATATCCAGGTCAGCAGTTCCTCACACCACCTCTATCCAGGGGACTAGTTTGCTGATTATAGATGGTCCCCCATAATGCGAATTCTCTCTTGCTATATAGTAGGAGTTTGAGAAAGGGCCACATTTAAAACCCTCAGCCTGTAGCCTTCTTCACCCCCTCTCCCGTCCCCACATGCACACAGACCTGCTCGTAGGAGATGGGTGCCTGCTTCTGGTGGGACAGCTCCATCAGAGTGCTCAGGTCTGTCCGTAGGTCTGTCTTACAGCCAATAAGCAATACACGGGTACTGGGACAATAATCTAGGATTTCCGTCTTCCACTGAGGGGCCCAAGCAGGACAGAATGGAAAGAAGGAAGAAAGGAAAGTCAGTGGCAGTTAGACACCCAGAAAAGCCCAGAAGGCAACATCACAGCCTCCTGCTTATCACCAGCCTAGTCCTCCATCACAGCATCACCACTGCATTAATTACATCATCCTCTTGCCCAGTAGACCTGTGGGGTCACTGTAATGCTGATCCAGGAGCCTGTACCCCCTCAGTGTACAGTCTAGTCACCAGGCAGATCACATGGGCAGTTCTTCCCTTACCCTATCATGCATACAGGGGCAGGGACCTGCCATCTAGCCCTAGTCACAGCCAGTCTCTTCCCAAGAGAAGCAGATAATCCCAGAGTCTTCTGGGAAACCAGGCTAGTTCTACAAGGTATCCTAAGACTCTTCAGTACAGATAAGTCTTGCCACACAAACCCAGACATTTCCTACCAACAGTTTAGCTCAGGCCTTGACTGGCTTGCCCAGTCTCACTGGGCCTAGGACCAAGGTCCATAGGAAGCTGCCTCCAAAAGGCTCCCATCTCTGATCCTCCAACCATATCACCAAAGGATTTTCTGACTCTGAGCCTTTGGCTTCCTGAATCTTCAACACCACCTTCCTTTGCTGGACCTCTGGCAAAATATAGGACAGTAAAAGAGCACTAAGCCTGAGGCATAGTAGGAACAGGAGACCTGGTTTCTAGTCTCAGAGTTATAACTAATGGGCTTGGGCAAATCTCTTCCTTCCTTGGCCTCAGTTTCTTCATGTTACAGAAGAGAGGATTCAATGATAAGGTCCTCAAGAGTTCTTGTTCCAATGCCAGACTAGAGACTGTAGAGTTTACCCAGCCTTACCTTCTTGAGTGCGCTGTCCACGGTCTCAGGCCGGCTGATATCAAAGCATAGTAATACTGCGTCAGAGTCACTATAGCAAAGTGGACGGACATTGTCATAGTATGGAGATCCTGGAGGTGACAAGAAAGCCAAAGGTAAGTCTATACCCAAAGAGCCCTGAGAATATTATTCTTGGTCCTTCAGGCTGGATGGCTCCACCCATCTCCCAGAGGAATGTACTGCAGCCTATAGATTTGGACTGCACACAGGCAGCTCAAGAATACCAGCTTCTGGTGGTGCAATGCCTAAGGCATTTGACTGCTAACCAGAAGGCTGGTAGTTCAAAGCCACCAGCCACTTCGCAGAAGGAAGATGGGACTATCTACTTCTGTAAAGATTTACCACCTCAGAAACCCAATGGGGGTCACTATGAGTCAGAATCAACTCTATGGCAGTGGGTTTGGTTTTGGTTTTAGTCCTGGAAAAGGGACAAAAGGGAGAGAAGGGGGCCTGTAATCTGACCCTATCTGGGTCTCCCAGGGGAGCTCTGGTGGCGTAGTGCCTAAGGCATTTGACTGCTAATCCCACCAGCCACTCCTTGGAAGGAAGGTTGGGCAATCTACTTCCGTAGGGATACTGCTTCAGAAACCCAAGGAGGGGCCGCTATGAGTCAGGTCAGACTCGAGAGCAGTGCAGTTTGGTTTTGATTCTCCCACAGCGGGCTAAATCTAAGATCTGCTAGTTTTCTGAGTGCCAGAGGAAGATGCTCCTGACCCCTGCAGAGACCAGAGCTTGTTTAAGGTCTCCTCTTTCCTAGAGTCAGCTGCTCTAGATGACTCGAATATAATCTCTGCTCCCTTCCGCTGTTCCAGGGTCTCCCCCGTGAAGAAGCAAACCTGTTATATAACTGACTGCCCTGCTTCTCTGCCATGGGGTCAAACCTCTGGCAGAGGAGGGAAGAAAATCAAGGATTCAGTGCCCCTTTCCTCCACCCCCCAAATCCACTTCTACTGAAAAAGGGCAGAAGGAAAATTAGAGCCTCTACCCCCTAGCCCTCAGGGGGGCAATCCCAAAGACAGGAACACCAAACACTGGATTTAGAGGCCAGAGAAAGGGTCCTTGGTTGGGAGGGAGTGGGCAGTGCCACCCCAGGTGGTCCAATCTGGGAGAATGCTAGGGGTTGAGCTTGCCCCCCTCCACCCTGGGGAAGGAACAGTAGCAGATTTGGAACCCAGACAATCCGTGCTCAGAATAGCAAGCAGCCCCTCTCCCTGCACCGCAATCGCCATGGAAACTGGGGGGAATCCAAGCTGGGGAGGGGTGTTGGTGGTTTAAAAAAAAAAAAAAAGGGAGTAACAGGGAGTTGGGCTAGCTGCCTGCTCCCTCAGCAATCCACCCCCATCCCTTCATCTCTTTCTGAGGTGGGGTCTTATCACTGAAGCTCTGAGCACCGTAGCACTGGGGTAGGGGGAAAAGGGCCTCCATTTTGGCTCCAAGTAATCCCCCTCCCCTAGGACCAGTGTTTGAATAATGGGATCAAGTATTTGCACCAATGTTGGGAAGCCCCAACCCACACACCTCCTCTGCCATTTCCTCTTTCCTTATGGGCACCTAATTTGAAAGAGGGAGTTTGTTTGAGGATGACTTGGTAATCTTCATCCTTTGGGAAAAGGGGGGCAGGGGACATGCAGCATGGGGGATTAAGACCATCCTTGCTGGTTTTCCATGATCAGGATTGGGATTCAAGGGCTGCATTCTGATGGCAGGAGGAGGGGAAAGCTGCAGGGGGCTTTGGGTGGTGGTTGTAAAAAGAGCTGCAGTAAGATTGGGGGACGGCTGGGAGGTGGGCAGGTACAGCAGACGAAGGCCACACATCATGCAGCCCAGCTGCATTCTTTTGCAATCCAGCCAGAATAGCACAGTCCAGGCTAACCAGAACCCTGCCGCCCAGCCCCGGAACTGCGACGGAAGAAAGGATGGCATACCGGGTTCAGGAATTTTTGTTTTGTTTTCTCAGGTGGTGGGGGATGGGAGCAAGAGGAAGTCTTTTTTTTTTTTTTTCCCTCTCTACCCATCCCATACCCTAAGTCTTTTCAGACCTCAAAACTGAATCATGGGAACAGCAGCTCTCTGGAGGAGTAAGGCGGCATATTTATTATATGAACAAGAAGCCCCAATGATTTACAGTTTCTCTTTAAACTCAGACTGAATATGTGTTTTGGGGAGGAATGGATTTTCTTTTCTTTCTCCTATTCCACATCTTAGTCCTTAATTTTTACTCTGAGCCCAGTTTATCATAAAGGACTGAGATTAAGAAATGGTGGGAGGGGGTCAGAATCAAAGCAAAGGATAGCCTAGCACTGAGGGTTTGGGGCTCAGAGGCTGGAAAAAAAACGTTCTCCTCTATATTCTAGAAAGACAGGACATCTTCTCTCCTGTACTCCAGTGCAGAAAAAACCATCGGCACCAATCCCTGCAACCTGCCGGCTACTGCCACTACCCACAACGTGGCTATGCCCTATATTGAGCCATCTCCCCCACCCTCCGAAGCATGGATGATGCATCGCTTCATCCCTGAGCCGCAACAATATGACGAGCAGAGTGGAGCTGCGGCAGGCAGACAACAGTGGCCGGAGATGGAATGCAGGAGAGAAAATGAAGTCTAAGTGGTATTTCCCCCAAAGCAGGCTTGCTTCCTGCCCCAACCACAAATGCCTCCAGCAGCACCGCCTCCTGCCTCTTATTTGGTTTTGTACTAGCGCAGCAAAGGCAGTGTGGTGTGTGCGCGTTGGGTGGCAGGGAATGGGGGATGGAGAAGCCTTATCTGACTGTCCCCAGTATTTCATGGATCCATTCACCTCACCATTTTAGCACTCTGAAGGATGGAGCGAGACCCAGAGAAGTGAGTGACTTCTGGGGCTCATTCATTCTGTACTTCTGGATCATCTAACTGAGCTGACCATCTTCCCTCTCTCACCCCAACAACTATGGAATCTTCAGGTCCCCTTCCTTCCATTTCCTAGCAAGTAGAGAACTCCTCCTGACCCAAGGTGGAAACAATTTCTAGAAGACCGCAGCTGCAGCAGACTGATGGAGGTGGGACGGAGGGGACATTTGGGCCAGGAATCTTACCTGAGGTGTCCCAAAGACTGAGCTCCACTCTCTGTTCATCTGTCTCCAAGCAGGCTGTGTAATTCTCAAACACGGTGGGCACATATGTCTGTGAGGAGAAAGGAACCATTCTTACCCCTAAGAGCCCCTACCCTCGTAACCCTCAGGTTAGTGGTGGCTATACAAGAAGCTGGTCAGCCTACTGAGACATTCAAGTGGCAGGAGATAAGGAGCCAGAGAAGGGAATACATGGGGCAGGAGGACAGGCTGTATAGAGGCACCCTTTTTGCTCCAAGTAAGAAATGTGAAAGATAACCTCCACCCACCCCTCCAAGCCAGGTGGCAAGCCTTCCATATCCTAGATATGGTCAAAGAGAGACACATACATACACAGATTCCTCTATCACCCAATTTGTTCTCTCTCAATTTTAGAGCTGCAATCCCATTCTAGCTCTTTATCTTCTCCTACAAGCCCCTCGGGATGGGAGAACAGCAGAGAGGCAGCACCAGCCTGCCTGGGGACATGTCCATAGAACCTTTGAGGGTGTGGTGAGGAGAGGGGCGGGTATTACGTCAAGAAGAAACCCCAGATTCTCAAATGCCTCCAGTTTCCTCTCTAGGGAGCAGACTCCAAGGATGAAGGGATATAGAAGGGGATTTGATCAGGGCCTGTGGGTGAAAAGGTGAGAAGGAGCCAATGGGGCGGAAGAAGTGGGACAGGTCTCAAGGGAAGCCAAGGCGGGGCAGTCTTCCAGCCAGAAAGCCGCCGAGAACGGGGCAGAAAGCTGAGAGTGGGGTGGGGGAAGGCAGCTCCTCTGGGCAGGTGGGAATTTACCCCCCAGGCAGGCAGGCAGGAGGAATAGGTGGTCAGCGGGCGGGCGGGCAGGCGGCTCACCTCTGGATAGCAGTCCTTCGCTAACACCTGTAACATTGCCGTCTTCCCACACTGCACATCCCCCACCAGAACGAGCTTACATCTGGCCACGACAGGCTGGGGGGCCCGTCTCTCCTTCATAGTTGCAACCTTCACGGGACTTAGACTCGAATTCAAAGAGGAGGCTTGAGCCAGGTGCGTCTGGTCTCGAGGTAGAAACTTCCCGGATTCCCTGACTCTCTCCAACTGAAAAGGAGGCAGGCACAGCCACCTTATATCTCTCTGGTGAGCCAATCACAAGAGGAAGCGGACTCTGTCACAGCCAATCCCTGAGCTGGGATCCCCTCCAACAGCCAATGATAGGAAGATCTGAGTCAGGGCCCTCTTCCTCCCTTCCCTTTCTCTTAAAGCTGAACGGTTGCTTCCCCTGGAAGATTCCCACGCTGCTTTACATTTGTTTTAGGAAGGGGGAGGGGATGTGAAGCAAAATTAAATGGCCTTCAGCGCCTACCAATTAGTGTCAAAAACAATAAGCTACTCATGGAAGCAGAAAGTGAAGTGAAGCTGGAGTTGTAGGGACTGTACCTGGAGAAAAGTAGGACCTGCCCAAAGTATAGACACGAGGCACACTGGGGGAGTGGGGGAGCTGATAAAATGGCCCCAAAGATCTGACCCCTTTGTTCCATTTAATCCCCATCCAAACAAATTCTAACATCTGGCTTCCTCTCCCAATATCAGCTTTTGTCCCACCCCCTTTGAAGTCCAAGTCTTTTCCCCAGGAATCCCCTTCAACCCCCGTCCCGCCCCCCTCCCCCCAAAAAAGGCTTCTAGCGTCACCTGAAAAAAACCCAAACAACTCTGGACCCAGAGGTGGCCAGAGAAAAATCAAGGAGGGAGTCTGGCAAGTGGGGACGAGAGAGATGACAAGAACAAAGTCTGTTTAGCCAGGCAGCCTCTCAACCCATGCCTGGCAGGAGCTGCTTATGGGTGTTTGTTCTCTTGTCTGGTTTCAGCTTCCTGGATGAATCAGGCACAAGTCCAGTTCCAGGATGACACCTACTGACGTTGACGCACTAATGTGTGTCACCTGGTTAAAGTCCAGACTGGAAGACTGAGCCTGGGACTTTTGGGATTGGAAAGTTAGAGGGCAGCCTAAGTTGAATGGGCTAGCAGCCATGTCCTTCAGAACCCTTGCTATTAAACAGGATAGGGAGGCCCTCAATTAGGCAGAACTCTGGAGTATACACAGCTCAAACACACAATCAGTGACTCTTGGGCCTCAGTGACTGAAGCAAGATCAACCTTAGCCAAAACTGAGAATACACTGGAATTTCTCTTGAAGTCCCTTCACCTTGTCTTGTTCCATCAGAGCTTTATTCCTAATTCGTAGTCTTTGCTGCCCCACACAAGGAGAGTTTCCCTGTTATAAGAATGTTTAAAAGCCCTCTCCAACTCAAAGGGACAGATCTCTAAGGGTGATTTCTAATACCCAGTATAGACAGTAGAAGGATAGAGATTATTTTGAGAATATAGCCTAGCAGTGTCCCTCCAGTGAAATCCAATGGCTTTGAAGTCCATGCAGCTTGGCTGAGGGCTCCAAAGCAAAGCCTACACTTTCTTCTATCTATTTCTTAAGGCTCCCCTTTCAGGGAACAGGACTCACCTGAGGGAACCTCTAGGGTAACCATTAGCTGGTTATCCTCCTGTCTAAGGCTCTCTGGACATTTCTTCCCCCTTCACCTTCCCCCAGTCCTCATCTTTAGATCCTTTCTGTCTTTAGAATTTGTCCTCTTCTTGCCCTTTTCCAGCAGCCTGACAGCCTCTCTAAGCCGACCGTAAGGGTGGTTTGGGAGAGCTCCAGGAACAGCTGTAAGACTGCCTCAACCTGGAGTCCTTTCCCTCAACCTGACCTTTCCTTTCTGTATCCTCATATCTCCCACCCTCAGTCTTATCTGGATAGTTCTGGAAGCATCAGTGGGTTCCCATACATCCTCCCTATCCTTAACTTGTTTCCTTCCAAAGACAGCCCCAAGGCTTTAGCCCTCTTCTCATGTTCTCCACCAGCCTCCTGCTACACACATACCCACCACTTCAAATAAACATTCAATATAAGTAAGAACCATTCCTGTTATGCAAACACCTTCTTCTGTCTTCTGACAAAATTGCCATCTTTGGGTTCTACCAAGAAAGATATTCAGGGTGCAGCTGGGTGACTGCATTTCAGGGTAGGACAGAGAGAGCCTCAGCTGTGGTATCAGGCAGCTTCCACTGTGGCTGATTCTCAAGATGTGTCTCCTGAAGATATTTTGTGGGTCACATGTTTGTGAGCTATAGTGGGACAGACTGAGTGTGCACAGGCATGTGTGCTAGGTCTGGAAGCAGTGTGGCAAAAAGCAAAGAGGATGGAGCTAAAGTCCAGCAGGTCTGTGTGTTGAACCCATCTCTGTCCTTAACAAGCTGTGTGGATTCGGGTAAATAATTTTTCCTCTCTGGGCCTCTGTTTCCTTAAATGTCAAGTGAGGAGTTTGGGTTAGATAAGGGGTTATTAGGCTTTTTTTTAGCAGTTGGATTCCCCTACCACCATTTTTTAAACCTTATCCAAGTGTCTTTATTTAAAAATCAATAACTAATGTAATACACTTGCAAGATGATGCTTCCATATCAAAACTAGAAAATTTCAAAATAAGGTTATATTTGAACATATTATGCTACATGAAAGATACCAGACACAAATGACCACATATTGTGTGATTCCATGTTAAGTGTTAAATTAAATAAAAATTAAGTTGTCTGATTGACTAAATAGCATTGCTGGGCAAGTGGACAAGGCCCTAAGACTTGTCTTTGCTGAAAGTTAAGCCTAGCTTTCCGTATATCAGTCCTCCTTCATTGACCAATTCACTGACATTGCTTCTACTCTCACTGACCGATGAAATACTAATAGTGTTTCAATAGTAAATTGTATAAGCCAATCAGAAATAAGCTTCTTTGCTTTTGCCTTTTGTCAAACTAAACCAATCACTGCTGCTTCCAATCACTGCTGCTTCCAGGTGCAGTACTTTTCCACATGTGGTTTGGTGCTACCAATTCCCAAATCTTCTACCCAAATAAACCCTATCTTCTAATAGATTTATTTGATTATTGTCTCGGTTTCTTTTGACATATAAAATGTCCAGAATAGGCAAATCCATCAACACAGAAAGTAGATTTGTGGTTACCTAGGGGTATGGAACTCTGGTAGCGTAGTGCCTAAGGCACTTGACTGCTAACCAGAAGGCTGGCAATTCAAACCCACCAGCCACTCCTCTGAAGGAGTTCTGGAAGGTTGGGCAACTACTTCCATAGTGATACTGCGTCGGAAACTCAAGGAGGAAACTATGAGTCGGGTCCGACTTGACGGCATATAACAACAACAACAGGGGTATGGGGGTGTCTTTGGGGGTGTCTTATTTTCTTAATGCTGCTTTAACAGAAAAAACACGGGTGTATAGTTTTAACAGAAATTTATTTTCTCACAATTTGGGAGTCTAGAAGTCTGCATTCAAGGTACCAGCTCTAGGGAAAAGTTCTATCTGCTCTGGGAGAAAATTCTTGTCTTAGCTTCTGTAACCCCAGCATTCCTCACTACCTTGACAATCTCCACATGGCATCTTTTTCCCCCACTTTGTGCTTTCTCTCTGTGTCTAATTTGCTCTTTTTAAAACTCAAATGTATTGAGGTTTAAGGCACACTCTACACTAATTTATGACCTCTTTAACATAATAAAGAAAACCCTATTCCCAAATGGGATTATAGTACTCCACAAGGATATAGGCTAGGATTCCAACACATATTTTTGGGGATACAATTCAGTCTATAACACAATGAAATAGGAATGACTGCTAATGGGTATAGAGTTTCTTCGTGGGATGATTTAAAAATGTTCTAAAATTGATTGTAGTAATGGTTGCACAACTCTGAATATACCAAAAACCATTGAATTTTACACTTTAAATTAGTGATTTGTTTGGTACATGAATTATATCTCAATGATGCTGTTCTTAAAATATCCATTGCCATGAGTCAACTGTGGTTGTGTTTGACTGCTAACTGAAAAGTTGTCAGTTCAAAGCCACAGCCGCTCCTCCACAGGAGAAAGATGTAGCAGTCTGCTTCCATAAAGATTTCCAGTTTTGCTCAATTTGTATAACATACTACACAAAAACATTGTTCTACATCCTACTTTGGTGGGTAGCAACTGGGGTCTTAAAAGCTTGCAAGTGGCCCATCTAGATGGAATGATAGGTCTCTCCTCATCCAGAGGAAAGAACAATGAAGAAAACCAATGATGCATGGAAACAATTAGGCCAAGGGACTAGTAGACCATGTGACCCTCAGCCTATATGACCATGAGACCAGAAGAACTAGATGGTGCCTGGTTACACTGTCAAACACTCGGAGGAGGATTGGTGCAGGATCTCGGAGGAGATCCTGGATAGAGTGGGAGAACAATGTGGAACAAAACTCAAAATCTTTTTTAAAAACAACCAGGTTTGCTGGTCTGATAGATCCTGATGAGACCCTGAGACTATGGCCCCTAGTTCCCTTTCAGGTCTGGAATTGAACTCACTCCTGTGGCTTCCATCCAAACAGTAGACAGGCATATAAAACCAAACCAAACCAAACTCACTGCCCTCAAGTCAGATCCGACTCATAGCAACCCCTCCTTGGGTCTCTGAGACAATATGACTACTGCCCAAGTAGATTGCCCAATCTTCCTTCTGAGGAGTGGCTGGTGGGTTTGAACCACCAGCCTCCTGATTAGCAGTCAAATGCCTTAGGCACTATGCCACCAGAGCTCCCAGACAGGCGTATAGGGTGAACATTTACATCAGGTAGATACACTTCTTGAAGCATGTGGGAGAACAGAAGGGCAGTGTTTGCACAAGGAGATAGCTTGAGGGGCAGGAGTGCATGGGAGGGAAGAGATAACTACAGGGAGGAAATGGGAAGAGCTCTATTACCCTGTGGATAAGTGCAGTCAATATAATGAAACAAAATGTGTATGAATTGCTGTATGGAAAAATGAATTTGCTCCGTAAACTTTCACCCAAATCACAATTAAAAAAAATTTAAAAAAAAAAATTTACAGCTTTGGAAACCCTATGGGGCAGTTCTGTTCTGTCCTATAGGATTGCTATGAGCCAGAATTGACTCCACAGCAATGAGTTTTGGTGATTTGGACTCTTAAGTATCTTTTATA